CTTTAGTGACTCACTTATAAGCAACAGAATGCAGCAGAACTGATGCTGAGCAACACCCAAGGCTGGCCCAGAAACAGCTGGGTAGCTTCCACTTAGTGCTTTAGGGATTGATTACTGTGGAGGAAACTAGCCATCGTTGTAAGAAGACAGATTTCTCAGAGACCACCAAGCAGGAAAGGCCACATGGAATTGTTCCAGTCAATGACTAACACCAACTACCAGCAACAACATCTTAGAGTATACTTACTAGACACGAGTGTTTCTATGGGGTATGTAACTTATCTGCTTGTGTCCTTCACCAAGTTTCTGCTTAAATTTTTCTAATTCATTTTTTTTTTTTTTTTAAAAAGATGACCGGTAAGGGGATCTTAACCCTTGACTTGGTGTTGTCAGCACCACGCTCAGCCAGTGAGCGAACCGGCCATCCCTATATGGGATCAGAACCCGGGGCCTTGGTGTTATCAGCACCTCACTCTCCCGAGTGAGCCACGGGCCGGCCCATCTAATTCATTTTTAAGAGTCCTTTTTCCATTAAGGATGTTAATCTTTGTGTTAAATTTGTTCCTTATCAATTGACATTAAATTTTTTTTAAAAAGAAGCTTAGGAAGAAGCTTTAAGGTACAACGATATGCTTGCTTATTTTATTTTAGGTTTCACATCTTAAGATAGCACCAAGAAACTTGCTTTACAAAGACAAAATCAGTGATTTAGTAGTTCTATAAGTGTGCAGTTGAACTAGGCATCCATAATTAACAATAATTTACTGCATATTATCAAATGGCTAGAAGAGAGTTTTAAATGTTCTCGTCACAGAGAAATGATAAATTTTTACGTGATGAATTTGCTAACTACCCTGATTTGATCACTATATGTATACTTAATACATTTCAATAAAAAATTTAAATTAAAAAAAAATCAAATACTAAAAAATACATACAATATGATTCCATTTGAATAAAGTGTGAAATGAACAAAACTAAATAATTATCCAGAGATACACATTTTTGTGATAAAACTATAAAGAAGTGAATAATGAACAATTTCAGGATAAGGATTCCCTCAGTAGAGAAGGGACGGCTATGCAATTGAGGAAACATACACATAAGACCTTTGTTTCTTTTTCTTTTTTTGTCTTTTTCCGTGTCCGGCAACAGATCGCAACCCTCAGTGTCGCCCCCGTACCGGATCGGGACCGGCAACGGGATCGCAGCCCTCGGTGTTGCTCCCGCGCCTCGCTCAGCCAGTGAGCGGGAACTGGTCTGTATGTGGGATCCAAACCCTCGGCGGGAGCGCCTCCGCGCTTCCCAAGCGGTGCACTATAGCAGTGCGCCACCAGGCCGGCCCAAGACCTTTGTTTCTTAAGCTCAGTGATGGATACACTGGTGTTTGATTTATTATTATTCTTTAAACTGTTCATAGTCCATGGTATGTATAGTTCATAAGTTTTAAAAGTTAAAATAAAAACCTTCTATGTAACATGTTAACATGCAGAAGCAGCTATAAAGATTTGTGTTAAAGGCAATGATGTAGTATCTTTCCCTGCATAATTTCCCTATCATTTGTGAATGAGCAGAGAAATGAATGAAGCTGCTGATATACAGTGCTAGTCTTGGACCACAGTCCTGCAGTATCCTTTTAACACTTTTTAATATACACTTCTCTCATATTATTTACTAACAGGATGAGATTACTGGCAAACAAAAGATCAGATGAGTATATATAATCTTGCATAGTTGGGCAAAACAGTATTCCACATACACACATTTTCTCTATAACTAAAACCAAATCCCTAATGTCTCATGTTTGCATGGTAATTAAGAGTTTATAACATGTAATCTCATTTGTTTTAATAATTTCACTGATATGTATCAGGCCCTGGGAATAAAAAGATAGGTAAGACATATTTCTTACTCTTAAAGAGCTCACCACCCAGGGACAGGCAGACAGGGGAGGGAAACTGTGAGTGAACAAGTATCATAGCACAATTAGTACTGCAATAGATTTGAGGAAAAATAAGGAGGTTGTCAATTCAAGATAAAGCACAGAAAGGTTTCAGAGAAGCTACATCTTATAGAGTTGTGAGGAATTTCCCAGGCAGATTTGGGAAGAAAGGGAATTCCAGAAAAACGGGACCAACATAACCACAAGACAAAAGCCAGGAACATATCTAAAACATTGTTAATAACTTGGGATATATAGGGTAGGGTGGACTGGGGAATATCTAACTGGAGAGTTTGTGTTTTATCCTACAGACAAAGCCATGGAACAGTTGTAAGCAGTAAATTTGGTTTTAAAAAGATTGCTGGGGCCGGCCCGGTGGCACACTGCTGCAGTGCGCCGCTTGGGAGCGTGGTGGCGCTCCCGCCGAGGGTTCGGATCCCACATACAGACCAGTTCCCGCTCACTGGCTGAGCGAGGGGCAGGCGCGGCACCGAGGGTTGCGATCCCATTGCCGGTCCTGGTCCGGTGTGGGCGCGACACTGAGGGTTGCGGTCCGTTGCCGGACACGAAAAAAGAAAAAAAAAAAAAAAAAAAAAAGATTGCTTTGGCAATAGGTAACCAATGGACTGGAAAGGGTGGTGTGGAGAGTCTGGAGGCATGGAGATAAGATGGAAAGTAGTTGTGATAATTCAGAGAAGAGATGAGAACCCAAAAATAAGGCAGTCACAGAGAAGAACACAGAGAAGACAACAAATTTCACAGTTAATTGAGGGAGAATTAAAAACAGTAATGATAAAATGAATGGAATAAGTGAGAAAAGAAAGATGCCACTAAAATTGAGATACAATGGTTAAAAAAAATAGACTGAAATCAGAGGATGGTGTTACAAAAGTCAAAGACAGATTTTCAGGAAGAAGGGAGGGGTCAATAACTTGAAATGATACAGAATGCACAAGCAGAGTACAATGAGTAATCAATCACTGGATGTGGCAGTTAGGATGTCACTGGTAAACTCCGTCGGCAGTTTCCATAAGGTCGTGGGAAGAGAAGAAGCCTGTCTGAAGCAAACTCAAGAGTGAAGTAGTGCCAAGGAATGATTTTTTTTTTGGAGTGGTTAAGAGATAGCTATGCTTATAAATGGAAGACTTTTACATACTTTGGGGCTGCAGTGAAGAGGCTGGAAATATGGGAAAGAGAAGGGCTAACTTATGGAGAAAGTCCCACAGTAGATATGAAGGGAGGATAGGATGAAACAAGCAGTGAAATTGTACAGAACAAGGGACCCTTCTTTCTGTGAGACAGAAGCAGTCAGGCACAAGACTATTCATTCAACAAACATTTACTGAAGATTTGCCATACGCCAGGTACTGTGCAAAGTGCTAACGTTAATTAGTAACTTAGTCCCTGACTTTAATTTAAAGAGTTCATAGCTTAGTAGGCAAAATACAGTAATCGCAATATAAAGTTCTAAGTATAAATAGACAAAAACGACAGTACAAATATGGTTGCACAGAGGTTGGGGTAGGGTTAGAATTTAAGAGAGCTCTTGCCTGGTGACACAGAAGGTGAAATTATCTGCCAAGTGTTTTGGGGGATGAAGGGGTGTAAGGCAATGCACAGAAAGGAATGAATGTTCCAAATAGTTGTCCAGATAATAAAACAACAACAACTTATACTCAAGATTTACTACATCCTGGTGAACTGGCCAGCGAGCTTAGTTGGTTAGAGCATGATATTATAACATCAAAGGTTAAGGGTTCAGATGCCTAGACCGGCCAGCCCCCTCCCCCGCAAGGGGAAAAAAAAAAAAAGGATTTACTATATTCTGGGCACTGTAATAAGTGCTTTATACATATTACCTCTTTGATTCTCAAAAATATCCTATTATTTTCATTTTACCAAGAAAAAACTGAGACTTAGATGTTAAAAATTGAGAGGCACTAAGGACTACATGGAGAATGAAAACTATTTTTTGTAGTAGCAACAATTTACATAATTGTGTCATTTTCTCCTGCTGTGCCTCTCAGACCAAGAATAGCAACTGATCCAGCATTGTGAGTTTACAGCAATAGAGAAAGTACAGCAGAAAGATCAGGGAAATGGGGAGTTAAAGAGATAGGGAAGAAAGCAATTCAAGTAGTTGATCACTGGGTCTATGGCTCAGGGAAACAACAGCACGGCAGACGCAGGTGAGGGGAATGAAAGAATATGGAATTTGAGATTATTTAGCAGTAGTAAGAAAATTAGTAAAATATCAAGTTGAGGTAAAGTAATATTTTAAAAATTTCATTGATGGAAGAGATTAAGGTGATGACAAACGCCAGAATGGGCCATGGTGTTGAGTTTAAGAGGAATGGGAGTCATTATTTGAATGAAGTCACATACCTAGTAAATGCTAAGTTTAAACAAACTCAAATCTACTGTCTCCAATTTCAGTGTTATTTTCACTATTCCACAGTTGCCTATACCTCACAAGCCTTTATCCATCAACACTTTGACTATTTTCTACAATTAGGTAATTTCTTGCCTTATTAAATACAGTATGTATATCAACTTAGCCTCTTCTTAATGATTTTAAGTCATCATTATTATCATATCGAGGAGTATGAGTGCTTCTCTAGTTGAGGATTCTTCCATCTTTTCCTTTAAGACAACTTTCAATTTTCACTCCTGTTGGTATACCTGCTACTACTTTCTAATTTGCTACAATATGAAACAAAACATTTTCAAGAAAAATTGGGTAATAAAGCCAGAAAGCTTAATTTTATACCTAATACTAGTCATCTAAGGGTGGTTTTTATTTCTTTTCTATGGATTGAAGACTAGGGATCATGGCAGGGCTCTGATACTTCTGAATGGATAACTGAAAAATTACTTAAACTACTGGATAACTGGGGTTCTAGACATTACTGTATTTCCAGAAACCTCTAATTAGCACTGAAATTTACTACCTCCTAAACCATTATATAAAAGTTTTTCTTAATAATATGAAGTACTATTCATTCTTTTTGAGTGAATTTGTATAACAATTACAAGCACTCCTAATAATCTTCATTACCTCTTTTTTGGCTTCTTTTTTGGGATCATAATCACTATCATTCCCATCCATTGGGTGTGTTTCTTCCACATCATCATCACTGAGAAGAAACAAAGATTATTAAAATTAATTCTCTTCTTTTTATTCTATTCCAGTGTTCTTATCAAAGTGTAATATACATTCTAATAATTTTACAAAATATTCTTTAACAGAACAATTGTTGTCTTTGGGAAGATAAGCTTGTAATTTAGATTCCTGTAGTGTTGAGAAACATTTATCATTTTGGGCGTACAGAATCACTTTAGCAAACATTTCTAGGTAAAAAATAGAGACCCAATGGGAATGGGATTTAGAGAAATATGATTTGGGAATGAGAACACGTATAATTTGATATAATACTTATAATTTTAGTTCTCCATTTGGAGAACAAAAACAGACAAAAACTAAACAAAATGATTTTATACTACTACAAAGATACAGCTACAATAATGGTGACTCCAGTTACTCAGGTAATTGTGTAAAGAGTATCTTCCACAGAATATATTCTTTAATATATTCTAAATATATGCATTGAATATATCAATACTAAGAGGAAATATTTGTGATTATAGTTAAAAGAGATGAAGAGAGTTCTTACTATTAAAACTTCTGATCACTCAGTTCTTCCTGTCACAGCAGAAACATGAACATAAGGATAAGAAGTATTTACAATGTGTTGTAATAATTTTCCTGCCTTAGGAAATTTAAGCAATCCAATGCAGTGTCCCTAACAATGTTACTATATAAAGGCATCCAACATACCTGTCACCCTGATTATGTCTATTGGCTAGTTTACGAGCCTGGCGATCCATCAAACTTGTCCTAGAGCGAGTTTTTTTCCAGGAATAGTAATATTTTACAAGGCTTGCAATTGTCTTATCTGGAAGCTTAAAAAAAAAATCGTGTTAATATTGTCAAGTTTAATTCATAAACTCTAATGAACAAAATGAATAATATTTTTATACTATTCTCTAATAATTAATAAAAAAGGCATTAATAAAAATACAGTATTTCATGGGTACCTTCATGGATTACAGAGCTAAAAAGTTCTGTTATAGTCACAGCATCCCACCAAGCCAACATCACTAACATTTCTGAATAGTCCTATTTGTTCTGGGGGAAAGGGAGAATATCACAAACTAACTTGGTGAGAATGTCCCCAAAAGTCACCAGTACAGCCATGTTAGTATTTGATACTTATTTTCCTTAAAAAGCAGCTCAATTATTTTTTTCCCCTGTTAGAATATAATTCACATAACATAAAATTCACCATTTTAAGTGTACAATTTAGTGGTTTTTAGTGTACTTACTAAATTATACAACCATCACTTCTATCTAATTCCAGAATATTTTCATAACCTCAAAAAGAAATTACATACCCATCAGCAGTCATACCCTGTACTCCCCTTTCTCTAGTCCCTGGAAACCACTGATCTACTTTCTGTCTCTATAAACATTTCATTTAAATGGAATCATACAAAATATAACCTTTTGTGTCTGGCTTCTTTCATTCAGCAAAATGTTTTCAGGAGCTATTCAATTCTTAACAATGAATTTTTTAAATCACTTTGTTTTAGATCCAGGTCTTAAAATAGTAAATAATACAAACAGACTTTAGCCACCAAATAAAGTCTTTGCATATTAAAATGACTAACGATCGGGCCGGCCCGGTGGCGCACTGGATAGTGCGCCGCTTGGGAAGCGCGGCGGCGCTCCCGTCCGAGGGTTCGGATCCCACATACCGACCGGCTCCCGCTCACTGGCTGAGCGAGGCGCGGGAGCAACACCGAGGCTTGCGATCCCGTTGCCGGTCCCCGGTCCGGTACGGGGGCAACACTGAGGGTTGCGATCCGTTGCCGGACACGGAAAAAAGACAAAAGACAAATAAATAAATAAATAAATAAATAAATAAATAAATAAATAAATAAATAAATAAATAAATAAATAAATAAATAAATAAATAAATAAATAAATAAATAAATAAATAAATAAATAAATAAATAAATAAATAAATAAATAAATAAATAAATAAATAAATAAATAAATAAATAAATAAATAAATAAATAAATAAATAAATAAATAAATAAATAAATAAATAAATAAATAAATAAATAAATAAATAAATAAATAAATAAATAAATAAATAAATAAATAAATAAATAAATAAATAAATAAATAAATAAATAAATAAATAAATAAATAAATAAATAAATAAATAAATAAATAAATAAATAAATAAATAAATAAATAAATAAATAAATAAATAAATAAATAAATAAATAAATAAATAAATAAATAAATAAATAAATAAATAAATAAATAAATAAACAAACAAATAAATAAATAAATAAAAAATAAAATAAAATGACTAACGATCATATGCTGATCTGCCATAGTGACAAATAAGGTTGCAAATTCCCCACCAATAACGTTCTCTCTGATAATGGAAGATGCCCAGATGTACTGGCAAACATTATTTAATTTTCACCCACTCAGGGTAAAATAGTTTGATGCAGCAACTTCTCAGATTTACATTATTTTGACACAATACTAAAAACTTAAGAACTAGAAATACAGAGCAGTTTTTCTCTTTAAGAAAAAAAAGCAGCAGCACCTGGGCAATATTGAAATAATATGGAATTTTTTAAAATGGGCTTTCATATCCAAAAATATATAAATCCTAATATCAAAAACACTTAAAAGTAAAGTTAAAATTATGATTATTTTCCTGGAACAACGAACATATTTAATAACACTATTACATCTATATTTAAGTCAAAATAAAAATGAATTTATTATAATTAAATAGCACATAATTTATATGAGTGGCTGCAGAAAATAAGACTTTATGCAAAATACCTATTTCAAAATGTCTTTTAAAATTAAAATTAAATCAGAAAACTTTTTCATATTTAATAATTAGAAAGCATTCAATAAATAGTAGCATAAGATGTCATTCAGGTATAAATCACAGTAGGACCAAAATTACCATACCATTTGCTGAATCCTGTGAAAGCTCTTCCCATGAAAACTAAAGGCTTGTTCAAATAGGACTTTATCTTCCACTGTCCACTCATCCGGAAAGGGAGTGAAATTAGGGAGATCAGCAAGGGACTTCTCAATGTTATGTTTATGCCAGAACAACATGCCAAGTGCCTTTGAAGAGAAATCATTCCCTTTTGGTTTTAATGGATTTATGTTCCATCACACTTAAGAGAGTTAAACACAAATTAGATTAAAATCTTAAGCCTGTGACTTCAACTGAAGATACACTCACAGTTTGGGGCTTTTAACCAGGGGCGCCCAGGTAGCAGACCTCATTTATTTATTTCTTTTAAATCAGGGCCTCAGAACAGTGAATGTTCTTACATACCATATTTGCTGCAGAATATAGGAAAAACAGTGAGCTGAGGAGAGTTGACTATCGCTACTAAGCAGGTCTGTAGACTCATATTAAGACTTCCACCCGCATTTATTAATTTCTCAATGTGTAGGGGAAAATATGCTAAAAGGAAAATATTCAGTAAATTAATACTTGAATGAAATCAATATGTATATGAAACTATCAATTATAACACAAAACCGGAAATACTCAGTTGGGACTTAGTAGAAAAATACTTAAGTTTTAACCTTATAGAAGTATATCACAGGCTAAATGGCTTCTAAGAAGAGTATCTCCACTGCAATAACAATTTAATATCTTACCACATATATTTTTTAAAGTTTCCAATTATCATAATGTATACATAGAATTATTAGCAGGCATATAAATAACTTCAGTGACTTGATTACCAAGTCATAAGAAAGCCTGAAATGGACAATTTCCAAAAATTCTTTTCAATTTAATATCTTACCACATATATTTTTTAAAGTTTCCAATTATCATAATGTATACATAGACTTATTAGCAGGCATATAAATAACTTCAGTGACTTGATTACCAAGTCATAAGAAAGCCTGAAATGGACAATTTCCAAAAATTCTTTTACTTTCCCCTGTATTGTAAGTCGTAGGCCTTTATCTTCACTATAAGGTATTGACTGTCACCTAGGGGATAAGCTTCTATTTTTTAAAAAGAGATATAGCAACTTTTAAAATAGTGAATTTGAAAGTTAATTTCCGTACTTTGATAATAGTACTTAAAAATAAACATGAAAATAAACATGTGCAATCACATTTTAACAGATTAACTTTCTCAAACAAATATTAAACAGAAAGGCAAGGCTTAAAAACAAAATAGTCAAAAGTTTCAAAGTCCACAAAAAGTTAATTACATTTAGATACAGACAAAGTAAACATCTCGATTTCACAAAAATATCACTTACCATATTACCGATTATAAATTTAAAAGTCTTAAATATTTATTTAAATGAAAAGTTTAACTTGTAAATCTTTTAGGTCAAAAAGTCAAAAGATAATTAACTGTACTTTTTTTTTATAAATAAGATTTGTTTTAAAATCCTACCCACACATATTTACCCCAAAATACATCAAAACTTCCTTTTCATTTTGGTGAGCATTTGCCAGAGTATTGCTGAAGGTTTTCAGAAACTTTCAGAACTCAAAGCAGAATAAGAAACAGAGGTACTAAGAGAAAAATGTTCAAGCACTTGAGATGAATAATGTTTATAAAAGCAAAATCCTTAACGTTGAAAGGTCAGACTTGCTAGGACTTTTGTGGTATCTATAAAGGTGGTCAAACTTATGCACTTTCTTAGAACAGACACTATCATGAGATGCTCTTTGGATTTGGTAAATACTGAGATGAGCCTTAATATTAAAATGTTTCTCTACATACCTGCTCCACATTGTAGCCATGTTTCTCCTTTGCAATTGCAATATATTCATCCACTGTAATGAAAAAATGTTATATAATTAATTCTCATTTACTTCATTTTCCCAAGTCTACTTTTTTTTTTAACATAGCAAAATAAAATAATTCATATGCCAGGGGTGAAAAAAATTGCCAAAGCTATCTTCCATAAAATGTTACAAAAACAGACATATAAACAGATCAGAAGCTCACCTGGTTTAAAATTTTATTTACAATGACTTATCTCTATGACCATGTATCACATACTTATTAAATTCAATGACATTACTATAATTATTTTTTTATGCAGAAACGGACCTATCTGTGGGTAGCCAATAGAACCTAATTACACCTAATTACAGTGTGAAAATATTAATATAACTTTTTTTTTTTTTTGGCAGCTGGCCAGTATGGGGATCTGAATCTGTGACCTTGGTATCATAAGGCTACATTCTCACCAACCGAGCTAACCAGCCAGCCATGATAACTTCTTGATTTCCTGTTACAGTCTTTATCTGAGAAGACTCAACTATTTAAGACTCTCTCATATTTAGAGATGGCCCAAAGCCTTTACCGTCCTATTTCTAATTGCTATATAAAGGATGGTTTATCTATAGTTTTGTCAGCTATACATAATAATGACACATTTAAGTATGCTTCAGTATCCTAAAATTTTCTTCAGTTCTTTCTGCTTGCTGTACAAAGGGTGTCTGAGTATTCCATTTTCATTTATTCTCTCATATGTAATTAAGCCAACAGAATTCGTTATATAAACACAGTTTCAATGATGATGAAGCAGCTATTGCAAGCCTCAATGCTGAGAAGTCTGCCACATTCAGCAGTACTCGGTTTCACTCCTTGATCCTTTAACATTATATATATATATGAAGGAGTTAATATGAATATATATGAATTAATTCTTTAAACATATTTTTGAGAAGGAGTGGTTAAGAATTCTGATCATGGAACAGCTAGTCTACCTGAGCTTGATTCTCAGCTTGTTACTAGTTTTTTGGCTTTGGCCAGGTAACTTTTTGTACCTTAGTTTCCTCACTCTAAATTGGTAATAAAAACAATATCTTCCTCCTATGATTAAATGAATACATGGAAATTGCTCAGAACAGCACCTGGCACATTTCAAGTATTCTGTATTTCCTATTATTATTGATCAGTACAGTTTAATATATGAATATGCTATTATGACAGTAATGTGGCTAGAATAACAACTACTTCTTTATGGATATTATAATTCTCCAAGTGTAAACTTTTAGTGCAGAAAATCCAAATATTAAATTTTGTTTAGAACCCAAAGCACATAAGTACATGACAGTTCTAAATATATGCTGATTGAGTTCAACAAAAATATCTTTTAGTCCTATAGATAGAAGCCTAACCAATACCAATTGACCTGTGGTTCTCAACCTTGGCTATGCATTAGAATCAGTGTGAGACCTTTTAAAAAGTCAGATGTCCAGGTTTTACCACCGAAGATTCTGACTTAATTGGTTTAAGACAGAGAAGAGACATCAGTAATTTTTTTTAAAAAGTTCCCCAAGTGATTCCAATGCACAACCACGGTTGAAAATCACTGCCCTAGACCTTCAGTTGCGTATTCCACATGGACACCACACTACCAGGACATGTTAGCTTTCTGAATTTCGTTTTCCACTTTGCTAAGAAATGCACCATTATATAAAACAAGACTAAAACAGCAAAATTCAGTGATACCCTGATGCTTAGTTTGAGAATAAGAACCTTTGCCTGTAATGAGAATTGAACCTGAGAAACCCAATGGTCTTTTTCATGTTCTCAGTACACAGTCCCAGGCCAAATGAACAATTTCATGTTTCCTGTTAAGAATGCCTGAAAGGCACACAATCCCTAGATTAGAATTTTTGCTGGTGTTCTAAAGCTTTTAAATAAGAATTATCAGGTATGCAGACATGTACTCAGTTTTCAATTTTTAGTTCTTATTGCATCAATAAGCATAATTAGACTTACTATGCACACAATACATAGGACATCAGTAATTTTCATGGAAATAAACCACAATGGGACATCTTAAAGATGTTAGTAAACATTTTAAAGACAAGCTTATTTTACAAGCTGCTAGAATAGCTATTAAGTGTTGTTGTTGTAGTTGTTGTTGTTGTTATTTAATAAGTTCAATGATAATTGAATGGAGGGATGGGATCTTAGTGTTGTTACCTGCACGTTTCCTATATCTGATGTGCCGCAAAGGATCAGGTCCGCTACATCACACTGAAGTCTAAAGCCACACCATGATTCAAGAAGTGCATGGTCAATGATCCAGAAGGTCTCCGTCCAGAAATGGAGAGCACAAAGATGACCTGATGGCTGCTGAAGTCAGTTCTTTCCCCTTTCCTCTTTAAAATGGTAATGATAATGGGCTCTTTGAAGTTTGAAGGCATTTCTTTACAGCTCCATATACTGAGGAAAAGCCTGTGCAGATGTCTACATAGTAACTCCCTCCCATGCTTGAGGATTTAAGCAGCAATGCCATCAGATCCTAGGTTTTTTTCATTCTTCTTGGGCCTGACACAAACTGGAATGATCAACCCACTATCTTTCAAAAGGAAAAACATTCTAATATAACAACCTCCATAAAAACAAACAAGTAAACAAAAAAGAAAACTGTTTTCTTATGACAATCTAAAAGACCCCAAAACAAATATAAGTTGCATTTTGAATTGGCTGATAGGTTCTTCTTGATATTAACAGTCAATTTCAGAAAACTTACATTTGGCATCTGGGATACTGTGATATGGAGACCATACAAGCATCCCTCCATTGTCTTTATCTGTGTACTTTGTAGCACCTGGGGAAAAAATTAATTACTTTGAATATGATGGATTTTATATACATTCAAAATAAATATAGACAAAGTAAGCTTTATTTCTGTTTTAGTACAGTACCTGCAAAGGAGGACAAAGAAAAAAAGTATAGGAAAACAAAGAGAAGGAAAACAGATTTACATTAAATATAATATCCTATTTATGAAAATAAAGTTAATTTTATAAATGTTGATGCTTACCCCCCCCAAAAGACTTTCTTAAATACATTACACATCCCTACTTCTTGACAGAGGGTAATAAACCTGATTTAACCTTCTATACATTACTTAGGGATCATCATTAAAAACTCTGACTTTTTAAACTAGAGAGAATGCCTCAGGTATTGTTTTGCCCCATATCTAAATAGACCAACATTGCTGTAATTTTTAAATACTTGTGTCTGCTTTTTACAGTTTTTATTTAATCTTATTCCTTGCTAAGAGTCTACCAGCTATTCCTTTTTACACTTAATTTCATTTATTACATTTTGTATTTATAAAAGTATGTGCTCTATGTAGGAGAGTCACAGATGTAGAATAATGCAATTTCTTCTTAATGTAATCTGAAAGTCAACTTCCAATCTAGAAGCATACTATCCTTTTCCAATTTGCTTCTAATCTGTTATAATCTAGAATGTCAGAAAAATCAAGCCCTATTAAAGCTGCATATAAATTAATAATAAAGAGAATGAATGAAAGCCTTACATAGCTCATCCCAGAGTCAAGTACATGCCATAGATTCTGTCTTTTACTTTAATTACGTGGTGGTCTTTTTCTGGCTTCTACCTAATCTTTAGCTGCATTCAAGTTAATTAAAACTATCAGCAAATGAAGCACTGCTCCACATTTTAAGAAGACTTGTCTATGAATATGTCATAACTGACTTTTATGAGGTATTGATAGGTACCAAATAATGGCCAGAATTCCAAAATTATTCACATAAAGTATTAACAGAATGGTGAGGTTAAACTGTGATTGTTTATGAAATATTTGGGAAAAAACATTCATTTCTAGGAGTAAGGGAACTACTACCATAATCTCCATCTGGAGAAGTTATCTATCAGGCAATAATATAGTATCATTCAATAGGCTTTTTGCTTTTTGTGTTTTTTTGGAGAACCATCATATATCACTACTGTATGTTCAATCAACAAATTTTTGGTTAAAGAATCACACACTGTTAGTAAAGCACATGAAAGCTAAAACATGAAGTTAAATTATTTTAAAATTATATGTGTTTTATGACAAGGAAAAATTAAGGATGGAGAAAAGAGAAATGAAAGGAGAGACACAAAGTATGAGAAAAACTGTAATTACAAAATAAATCTAAAAAAAAAATCTTTTACACAGGTAATGGTAGTCAGCATTGTACCCCCTAAATATGTATAATCAATTATGCTTCAAAAAAAATAAAAAGTAAAATAAATAAAATAAAAATAAAATATTTTGTATCTTGTATCATTAATAAAAGAGAAAAACAGGAGCTTAGAATTTAAGAAAGTGCAAGTAATAAGTTCATTATCTAAGATTTATATTCCATGAAAACACTTTCAGTTGTCTTTTAAAAACTTCAATATCAAGATACATAATTTTTAACCAATAAAAATACAAATGCAAAATAGCCAACCCATTCAATAAAAATAAAATAGAAATCCTATCTAAGTTGGTCAGAAGCTTTTACTTAATAAAATCAAACATTTTTTCAAACGAATATACTAAACTTCAATCCTTTAACATTGTACTGATTCTTTTTGCACAATGAATTGTCACAAGATCATTTAAATCCTACTTAAAGTCCTACTTAATAGAACATTGAATGCAACAAAGGAAGATTTCCATTAAGTCTCAAGTCTTAATAGCTATTGTGCTTAATATTTCCTTCCATCTCATTCTTGCATTACAGAAAGTCTGAATTAAAATGTCTTAAGTGTTTCTTTTTAAACAGATATTAAACTATCTTTTTGTATTTTTACTCATGAAGAATAGCAGTTAAGGGCTGACTGGTTAGCTCAGTTGGGTAGAGCACAGCCATGTAACACCCAAGGTCAAGGGTTTGGATGGAGGGGTCGGGGAGGGAGTAGTTATATTTCCCCCAAAATTCTCAGCATTGTAACTTAAGGGCCTGGTCTGACAGAAACTGGCATCCAAGCTGTGGGGAATAAGGGCTCTTCTAATATGGGGGATGGAGAGTGGGGGGAGGGGGTGGGGGCGGAGGGCAATCCTATCCCATAGCAAAGAATGCTTAATTAGGCATTTCACAACGTTCTTTCCCTAACCTGTAATTAGACTCCACTATTTTCAATAATACTGTGTGTCAGTTAGGCCCAAGAGATGACAGAAGTTCGTAGGAAATGAGGGACACTTTAGTGTAATGGTTAATAGTGTAGATTATAGAGCCAGACTCCCAGAGTATGAATCCCAGCATTGTTACTTAGTAGCTGTGTCACCTTCATCTACTTAATCTCTCTGTACCTCAGCTTTCCTCATCTCTAAAAACACTGATGATGAGAGTACCTACTTCACAGAGTTCCTCAAAAATTAAATGAATAAATATGTGTAAAGTACTTGGCATATGGTGAGCTTTATACAAGACTTTACTGTTATTATTATTATCACTAGTGTATGCTTTTTGAAAACAGTTCCTTCTTAAGTTCCCCTCTCTCTCTATCCTGGGAAGGCTTCTTCTCACTACACCGATAAACTAAAAAAATAAATGAATAAAACCTTGAGGAGCTATAATTCAAATGGCTGATGCCCTCTCTCACCAACCCCTTGAATATGAGCTTGAACAGCTGAAATGACATTTTTCTTTTACTGACAACTCAGACTAATTCCTCTCCTGTAAAATAACAGGAGAAAGTAATTTGTAATATTAAAAATAATTTATCTACCCCTTAGGATGCTTTGCATCCAATGAAGTTTTACCCTTTTCCATTATAAAAGTCAGAATGAACCAAAACATTTTAAAGATATAAACCCAATATTTATTTTCTTTTTATCTGTAACAATATTTAAGATTATACCTCAAAACTGTCTGATAATCAAACCTGGCTCATCTACAAAATAACCAAGCCTTAGAAGTATCTTATCTTCTGAACAGGTTAAAAAACTAACCAAAACCTGGATAGCAAGCTACCATAATTTTAAATGAGTATAGCAGCATGTCAGTTCTAAATTAAAATTGTTGAACAATCAGTTTTAAAGTTTTAAATAAAACATTTAAAAGTTTAATTCCTTTGAAATCATTTAGATCTCTTTTAACCACAGTTGGTAAAGTACATTTATGAGACTAGTAGGGAAAACCAACAACTAATTAAAATATAATTTGATAAGCTAGGATTCCTAAATCAATAGCAAACTTTAAAATAAGTACAAAAATAAAAATCTTCTCTTACTTTTTAGATTTCCTTAATACACTATAATAAGGACTTTGATGGAGATCATGGAACAAATATATATAAAAAACTTAAATATTGAGAATATTAAGATGCTCCTAACATTTTTTAAAATTCTATTATTTATATACTAGGCTCTAAATTATATACTTACTATGCCAACTTCAAACTGGGGTAAACAAAGACTTTCCCAAGGTTACCTGAGCATGAATAAATTTGAAGGGAATCAATTTTCAGAAATTCAACTTCCCTATGCTCTCCTTCCCAAGACAATCTGCCCAAAGACTCACTTGCATTCTAAATTATATGTTCCTTCTACTTCTGTCATCCCTCTTTACAATGTCCTTCTCTCAGAATTAAAAAAAAAAAGGAAAAGCATACCTCACCCATTGTAAATCTTAAAAGAGTACGCTGCCCAAAATTTTAAAAGTTCCAGAGTTCCAAACAAAGTGTTAGCAAGACTTCTCTGAAAGGCACCAAAACTACTACAATTTTAATCAATTATGCATTAATTGTAATAACTTAGACCCTTATGTTCACAAAACACATATTATTGTAGTAGAGAAGTCAGACAGGTGATCAATGAAGCACTTTCAAGCACAAAAATATATTCTGAAACATAAAATTCTGTAGGGAAAATGCATGGAAATGATTCCAAAGTCAAAAAGGAACAATGTAAACTTTCAGACTATTAGGAGCCTGTTCCTGTATCTTATAAAATAGATACTATCACATCACTATAGTATTTATATTTAATTAGACGCATTTACAATAAGAATATACCAGTTTTATTTCAGTGTCAATATTTTCAACACACTGGAGATTATGTTCTTCAACCATTTAAACTCAGTGACAAATAATAGATGTCAAGGTAAAAATATGTAAGAGACTTTTTAAAAAAAAAAATCTTCTACAGCTGTGCAAGCAAAATATTTTGAAAGCCACTACTTCAGATGAATTAACTTTCACTTAGTCTTGTGATATATTTACCGTTATCTCCCTTTTACAAATGAGAAAACTAAGACCTGAAGAAGTCAGGTAGTTCATCTCAGGTCACTGTGCCATATTAGCTTAAAGGCACATAAGAGGTGAGACTTCTTAATCACCACACAAAACTATTTCTCATGATGTAAGCACAGTCAGTAGACACTAAACAAAAGTTGGGAAGATCTTGTAAACAACTGAAAGAAAATAATCAGAAATCCAGTTAGTAAATTATAAAGATGTTTTTAGCAATGGTCCCTTAATTAAGGTAAACTGTCCCTAATATTTTAACTTCAGTAATTCCAACACAAATCTTGATTCTTCTCATATTTTCTAAAATGATCAATTTAATAATTCCTTCTTTATGTGCTTAATTTCTATCATCACTATCATCTCTTCCAATAAAAATATGCTCCACAAAAAATCCCCTTTTAATTTTCCTACATTCTGATCCTAATAATCACAGCACCTAAGAATTTTTCTTCCAAATAACTTGTATTGCTATGGGTGAACAAACTCCATAAAGATGGATTCAGTGGTTTATGAGACAAAGGTAATGAAATGAGAAAGTGAAAAGGAGAGAAGCTGACCATTTCTCAGTTTCTATCATTAAAAAATATCTCTTTTCCTTTATTATCTCTTCCAAGGTACTGTGCTTAAATTCTCACATAATTATACTGAATAAAATAAAAACTTCACACAACAGTACAAACAGAATAAAATAGAGCAGCAATACAATGCTGAATGGCATAAAGGCTCAACACTTCCTTGTAAAATATGCCTAATAATTGATCTGTTTGCTTGACAAGGTTGGCGTATAATAGCTAAAGAAAAGCCTACCTAAATTTAAATGGTAACTGGTTTTAATTGTGTCTTTGGGTTGGGTATTCTTCTGGAAAAGATTATTAAGCAGAAAATGAATACATGAATTTAAAGAATGTGACATTTATACTTATTCTAATAAAGAATATCAATTACAGTAAATGGTAACTGGTTTTAATTGTGTCTTTGGGTTGGGTATTCTTCTGGAAAAGATTATTAAGAAGAAAATGAATACATGAATTTAAAGAATGTGACATTTATACTTATTCTAATAAAGAATATCAATTACAGCCTGAGTAAATACTGAAAATATGACTTTCATTATTTAAAACACAGAAACATCCTGTAATTTTTTTCTCCTTAAAATTCCATTTAGATTCAAAATAGGCAAAATATGAATATGATCATCAATTAAGTTGATAAATCCAAATAGAGGCCATGTAAAACCACTTAGGTTTAGACAGTATTCTGTTTAAATAAGTTATTCTTCAAATTTTGAAATTTGTTCCAGTGTTTATCATGAAACAAACAAAAAAATGCTTTACAGTGACCAGGCTTTGGCATGTGCAAATTTGTTCCAGCATGAAGTCTGGCTCTTAAACACAAGACCCTTAATCAACCAGTATATAGGTGCCTTTGAAATAACATTGACTCAGAAATCTACCTAATGGGGTAAAAAGATGGACATGTTTATTAACTTAGAATTCTGGCTGCTGAGTTCTAATTTGGAGATAACTATCAATACCAAAGAAAAGCACACAGTACCAGTGAAAGCTCCTCATCAGAAAGGTGTAAATATACCCAAAATCATTCTTCATAACTATGATATCCAATCTTTACTGAATAACTGCCATGTACTCAGTCATTTAATTCTGGCAACCATTCCATAAAATAGTTTTTATAGGTAGGAAAACTGAGGCTCAGGAAAGGCGCGTGACGCTCAGAGCACAAAAATAAGAGTTGGGAGTTTGGCACTGAATTCAGTCTATCTTAAGCCAAAGTATGCTCTTTCCAAATGTCATGTTAAACTCTGAGGCAACAAGGTAATGTGAAAGTGCCCTTCACCTGCTAGCTACAGACAATGAAAATTAGCTTCACAAAACACTTAAAATTATATGAAGCCCACCAGTACACACACTGACAGCCTTTGAATAAAATGTATTAACATCCATGTCATTTAGATGGCAGCCCAAATCTAGAGAGCACTCTTGTATCAGTGCTTTTACCTACTGAAAAAGAGATTCTCCTGACAATCTTTTTAATACTATTTTAACCCTTCTCCCTTAGGACAGGAGGAGCTGTTACGTGAACACTTTAAATGGTTGGTAAATATTATTCTGCATGGTCCTAACAGGGAGGAGAAGAAAGAAAATACCCATCTTAAATAAACATGCTGTTTTCCCCAAGAAAATACAAGTAAACCCGATTAATATCCAACGGAATTCAAGAGTCCGACAGACACGTTATCACGAGCAGGCACCGGGCAAAAAATGGACCAATTGTAAGAAAGAAGGGATGGGAAGGTAGTGTTTCAACGTGTGTTCAAAGCCTGAACCGAACACGGTCTGGGGTGGGGTGGGGAGAAGGCAAGGCGCTCCACTTGAGAGGCTCCAGCAAGGGCGCCTCCATATGCGGAACTCTCGCCCAATCCCCGTGCAGTCTGGAATCCCGTGACCGCCGGAGAGCCTGTTTGGAGAAAAGTAGACAGGGAGCCCGCAAGCTGGGTTGGCAGAGGACGCTGGAACCTGGCTGCTCGGGGAGAAAATGTCTCCTTGGCAGCTGCGGCCACTGTCCTGTGGTCTGACTTCCCATGGCTGGCTCGCAAGCGAGGTGTGCCGCTGGCGTCTCCCCACCCCCTTTCCCCACCCCCATCTGTCCGCGGCCCCGACACTCCGCAGAGATGCCGGGACCAAAGCTACACCACCTACCCAAAAAGAAAGAAAAGGGACGACCCCATCTGCGCGCGGGTCGCCAGGGCTCACCCTTGGCTTTGGCCAGTGACAGAAGCCCGGGCCCCCGCCGTCAGCCTAACGAGCGCGGCCCTGGGCTCCCGAGGGCCGGGTATGTGGCAATTGACATTTGCATGGTTCATCCACACAGAGCCCGCACACCCTCTACTCCAGCCCTCCGCTCCGCAGCCGCTCCTCCCCTTGCCCCGGACCCCCGACTCCGCCAAGGGCTGTCTCCCTCCGCTCACCCCGACCCCGGTCCGGGCTCAGGGGACAGAAAGGCGATGCCACCAGCGGGCAAGTGGCTTCCAAAGGGAACCATATTAACCTTGCAATGCACACATCTGCCCACACGCCTAGTGTCACAGCCCGGTCACTGACAGCTTCCTCGCCAGAGATGTCTACCCAGCCCAGCCCCGCACCCCCTCTCAAGCCCCACGCCCGGACCCCTATCCGGTCCACCCCACACCAAGCCCAGAAAAGGGGAGACGGAATTTTGCTTAAGCAAATATATCTACCTGGATCAAATTCAGGGATCCGAGCTTGGTATTCAGCTCCGACTCTCATCCCAACATCTGCAAAGCGATGCCAAAAAATTAAAAAAAAAAAAAGAGAAAAAAAAAGAAAGAGAAAGAAAAAGGAAGAGACACTTAATAAAAATAAAAATTGCTGGAGGGAGGAAAGAAGAGGCGGGTGGATGGGAAGATATTAACTCCGGGCACTCCGGGAGATGGCAACGGATGGGGGGCGGGGAGCGTGGGGAGGGGTGAGGGCGGAGGATTGGTCGAGGGCGGAGG